CCGGGACATCAGCCCCCCCTGCCATGGACCACCTGCTGAGCTGCCGACTGCATTCTTGCTACGGAAGGATGGTAACACCCAGCCACCCATCCACACACTCTCTTACTAGACCATAGTACCCTTGACTTTCCTTTCTGATATACCTAGACTACCTTCACTGAACCTTGGTCCCTCAATTTGTGTTAACCCTTAATAAGCCGAATAATTCATACATTAAACATTGGTCTCAGTAACAATCCGTGAGCGTGGTGAGGAAATATTCCAATCTACCCTCTAAGATACAGTCCCCCTGTGGCCGTTCCTCTGTGAGAGGTGAGCGCTGCACATGCACCCTTGGTCTTATTCACAAACCTCTGTTTGGGGGGAGGGGGAAGTCAGGAAGCATCCTGACAGCCGGTAGCCCTCCAATATCAGCCCATGACATACTGTAGCTGCCCCAAGGCAGTGGCAGGGAAGACAAAACCAGTCTGGTTCTTTTGGCCACCGAATGCGGGCTTTGCTCCACTGCTTTCAGCTCGAGGGTCCTGCTGTGGACAGGGCCCTGGGCTGTCTGTGAGACGTGCCTTCCCAGGAAAATGCTCAGGTGGCAGACCTTGCAGCAAGCTGTACCTATAGGTCAAGGTAGTGTCATCTAAGGGAATTAAATTACACACAGGCTGCGATTTAGTCATAAAACTTGCCTGGATGGGAGACAGGCAGTCAATGTTCTAGCAGTCTGAATCATTAGCGGAGTAAAAGAAACCCAACTTTTATGCTGGGAAATCCGACTGGTGGAACACAAGTGTGTCAGGAAAACAGAAGCAGATAAAACATCTTTTGTTTTAGAACCGAAGTACTAGCCACAATGCTAATTTTTCCAGTGTGCTCTCTTGCAAGGTTAGGTTATTTTGCTAATTCTTTCATGCCAAATAAGTTCTCATCTGTAATATACTTAATTGGTAACATGGCTAAGTAACTGAGCTCCCAAATCCCATGTCGGTTGTACCTCACATTAAGGTGACATCTGTCCTCAAAGGACGTCTCCTGGATTTATAATTATATAAATAGGAACATGCTTGGTTTGATATCAACAAAAAGCAAATCTGACCAGGGAGAGAACTGTACAAAACCAGAACACATTAATACACTCATAAAAATAAAAATGAACATATTAATAGGAATGAGAAATACTGTTTTATCTCCAAACCCTTCCAAATCCAAGTATCTGTACAAATGATAGACAGGCATGAAAAATGCACAAAGTGCAATTTTTAGCCAAAGACTTTCAGTTTTGTAAGGGCAAAACTTGAACAATGCTTTTTAGAGCTCTTCTTACATATGACGCCTGGGAATCACGCAATTCAATATGCTCTCTTGGGTGACCCTGAGGAATACATGGAACAAGACCATTTGGGCCAAACGTGCTATTGGCAGCTTTGCCATGATGACAGAGGATTTACTTTTGGAGAAGTCAGTTTTAAGGGTTAGATATCTATCTACTTGATGTAACAAGTCTCAGCAACCTCACATGCAGAAAGCAGAGAAATAACAGTGAGATTCTGGCTCGTATCTTTCGTGTAGCATGTTAGTACATTTAAGAGTCATCACTGCCAATTCTGCTGGTGATACACGTGGATGTGTAACTTGCCCCTAACTACAGTGACACAGCTTACAAGTAATGCCAGTTGTATTTTCCTCTTTTCTTACAAAGATGACTGTTCCTCAAACTCCAACAGAAACTGATCAGAACGGACTTCTGTATCATGTTGTTGAAACTAGTCTCAAGAGAGAAATGGAACCATCTGATACAGAAATGAAAGATTCACCAGGAAACAGTCAGCTATTCTTTATGTGCACGTTAGACATAATTCAAATGCACTTCCTTCTTCTCATGAGGAACCTATTTTGCTTGCAGGAAGGTCTAGCACCAAACACTGCCAATCGTGCACATCCCTCGCTTCTGTTCATCCTCTGACAGACTCTGAACTCTCCCTGGTTAGTTTAAATTCAAGAGGACCTACACTGCTCAGGAGTAGTTGATAGGGATTTCAAAAATGTATTAGATAAGTTTACAAATCAGACTTCTGTATTATTTCTGCCTGCAAAAGGAAACAAAAGCTCTGGTAGCATGCAGGGAACTCATTGTTTCCCTACTCAGCTGCTGTGCAGCATTCTCCACAAAAAGAACCTGGAGCCAAACAGATGTCCTTAGCTGGCTGATCAGACATCAAAAGGTAAAACATCTATTAAGACCCTATTTCCCATTGCCAGTAGTACTGGGTTTAAAAGCAGGTCTCTGAATATGCTGCATTAAGGTCTCATCCCTTCAGATGTAGAATCTGTACCACTAAAATGCTAAATTGTACAGAACTGATTTTAAGTATTGCCTCAATTATCGGTGGGAATAGCTCAGATACATTCTGTTATTGTACAATAAAAGAAGAATCTATTTGAGATAGGTATCATACCGTAAAGAATGTCCTCTGTGCCAGCTTGAAGGCTATCTGGAAGACGCTGCCCTTGGCCCTTAAGGTGCACCTTTGAAGATAACCAGCTTTGGCCTAACTCCACTTCTGCCAGTGGGAATTTAACTGCGACTGAAGTAAAATCTGAAGGCATCTTCTTCTCTGAAAACTGAAATCCCCCTCAGAGTACCTAACTGGCATAATGCCCTGTTCCAGGGAGGTAAGTTAGACCACTGTCTGCGGCTGCCTGTGCTCTGTCCAGCACACAGTCATGGAAACTGAGCAGAGATTTTCTTTTGGGAGGGGAGAAGCAGGGGAGGCTGAGAGGAGCGTCGGGAGGAAAAAATGCCGAGCCAAGTCCAAACTGCCAGATCAGTGACCAAGTCCAGTTGTGGCTCAGGCAGCACCTGGTAAGCTGCATGCATCCCTGGGAGACTTGCTGTACTGCTGAATTTTGTTCAAGATGTATTACGAGCAGGGAGAATGATGTCAGTTAGGAGCTCTCATTCCTGGCCCAGGAGAGGGTCTGCCCGGCCTGTACGCTCCACGGCATTACACAAGCCCAACATCTGTGGGTTTGACAGTGGTCAAACCAGCTAATTGAAATCAGGGAAATGGTAAGGCCAGAAAACTTGGAGGTGGAAAACGGCGGGGGGGGGCGAGGCACATCTGTTCTTTATTACCTAACAGGCTGTCAGCTTTAGGAGCTTGCACTCAGCAGGGGAACCTTATATACCCACAGGCACAGATTAGTTTGTTATTGCCCAATGGTTACAGTATCCCTTGCAAACAGGGTCTTATTACTAGCACCAGATACTATGCGTGGCTCAAGAATAACACATGGCTCTCTACAAGACGCTCGCTTCACCTTTTTATGTAATTTAGTTTTTCATTCTCTTTGTAAAAGTGTGTCATTTTAGTTTTTGTCATTAAAAAAGTGCACAAAAGGAACAACTTGAATTCGAACATGAATGGAAATCTACCAATTGCTGTCAGGGAACAAACTAGCTCTCTCTGCAGTACACAGCAGCAAATATTCAGCTTTGCAGTGTCTAACTTGCTATAATGCTCTGCCACTACAATCCTTCATACAACTCAGTCGAGAGTTTCACAAAGAAAGGCTAGATTAAGCCTTTTAGTAGGAATTTGTAGAAGAAATCTGACGTCCCAGTTATGGCCCTGCAGGCCTGTGCTACAGGCTCAGTTCATGGCAATCAGACTTTCTGCTTCACATCAGAAAACTCATTTAAACTCTGTGCTACATTTGTTTACTTGTCTTTCCTGTTTATTTCTCACTTTTTTTCTACTACAAGCTTTTCCCAGGGCAGGGATTGTTTCTGATAGTGCATTCGTGCCTATCCCAGGCATAGCAGACAGGTGAAGAGGAGAAGAAAGAACACTCCTTTGGCCTGGCTAAGACTTGGTTACCATGATAATAGATGGCAATACTGCAAGTCTCCTTATTTGTGAAGACAGAGCTGAACTATGACATCTCAGAGGCCAATGCTACTAGCCACAGGAAAGCAGAACCTGAATTCAGCAGAAAAAAATTTGGCTTTTAGACTTAAGGTAAGACACCTTCAAGTCTTTCTAAGAAGCTGCCACACGTTATCTTTTTTTCCCCATATTGCCAGAAATACACAGGAACTCGATGGAAATTGTCCTCCAGCAGCATTGCCGGTGATCCGAAGCGTACACCACTTCATTTCTTTTGTAGTATTGATGTTAGCCCACAGCAGGTGTCTTGTTTTATGTGAAGAGTATTTTAGGGGCCAGGATTGGCTGAGTTGGAGATGTAATTACGTTGTACTCCTTTCAACTGCAGTACTTGAACTCTTCTAGTTTAAGTATTGTGCATTTTGTCCTAAACAAACATCAGATCCCTACTCTTTAATGGCTGGGATGAGGTTTTTAAAACTAAAGCTGCAACTGGAAATGCTAGCCCACTCTTAAGCAGAGGGATATAGCAGGTATTTTTATAGTTTATTTGCCCCTAAAGTTAGAATGGAAGAAGTCCAGGTCCAGTGCTTTTAAAATTTCTAATCTGTCTGCTATGTTACAGGTTTTACAAACCACAGTTCCCATTGACAATCAAATAAAAGGCCTGACACAATATATTAAAATGTAAGGACTCTGTCTCTTCCTATTCCCTTTCATCTTTTCCTTCCATCTGAAACCTGAAAGCCTGCCACTACAGCCGAAATTAGTCAGTTAAGTCATCTCTTCCTTCAAAGACAGGCCCAAGCCTTCTTCAGCTTGCTTTTTCTGGGCCACATCTTCTTTGGGACATTTCTCCACCCATCACGTTCAAAGGGTGACTCCTTTGGGTCCTTAAGCCACCAAAACACCACATAAACCTTACAACTGACTGCTAGGGTTTTGCTGAGACAGGAATAAAGACTGTAGAGCATGAAGTTACAGTAAGACCAAAAGCCCCGCTTATAATGACCTTTCCTGTAGCCATTATTTGTGCATATCCCTCATTTTAGGCCAGCCTCAAATACAGCATCCTACTTTCAGGTTTTGGTAGACTCCAGGGGGTTCCATGCTTCTAATAATGCCTTTGGGCACTTGATTTTAAGGCGCAGAGTTCATCCACCAGATTCACAAGGCTAGGAGCACACCGCCCTTCCTTACTACTCATGTGCAACAACCTCCTAAAAACCAGAGGATATTTCCAAAGTCTGTTGGCCAGGGTCCATGGCTTTCAGATCCACTGGTCTGTCATAGAAGTGATTCATTTGACTTGTTTCCTTATACCTGGAGCATATGACCACTCCTACAGCTCCTCAGAGCCTCTCTGCCACTGTCACAGTCATGCCTCACAAAGTACACGTTCTTCCTAGAGCCTGACACGTTGACTGACCCCACCATGGGTCTGGCAGCAGAGACTCCTTTGAGGCACAGTGACTACTGCCCAATAAGCAATTTTCTTTATGTGGCTTGTATTATGTTTATTACATAACAGGTTAATAAACAAGTTCACACATCATAAACACTATTCAGGAAATGTTTTATGGCCATTTGGGTTCTGGACAGAAAAAAGTAATACCATGTAATATTTTAAAATTACCTTATAAGCGGGTCTTTTTACTAGCTGTTCTAACCATTACTCCATGCAGCACGAGACAAAGACGTCACTTATTTACTAGATCCGAACACGTTAACAGGTGAGCAGCTGCCTTTTACCAACATGGGAAAGAAAATGCACGTTTTACAGTAACAGTGCAAGAGAATTGATGAAGACTGTACCTTTGGAATGGGGAACTGGCATTCCCCTGAGCAGTAATAGGCATCAAAGGACTTTGGAGAAATGATCCACTCACTCCAGCCAACATCTGCAAAATCCACCTTGAGATATCGCCGGGCGCAGTACCTCGGCTCATTCCACTGTGTCCTCCTCGCCTTCTTCAGTGTTTGCTCATCAAACTGTAGAGTCTGACTCTTCTGGTGATGATTCTTCCTCTGCTTTTTCTTACTCTTCATCCTCCCCGCTAACTGTGGCTGGAAGGTTTTGTAGGGTTTTCTCTCTTCCCATCTCTCGCTGTACTGGTACTCGGCTCCTGGAAGCTCATTATTCTGCAATGGCAACAGGACGCTCGCAGAGCGTTTTCGCCTCTGCTTCCCAAGGCTGTTCCTGGCGTGGTTTTCCGGTCTGGGAAAGACCCTTGCCAGAGGATGACGGTGCAAACTAGAGACAACGCTCTCTGGCTCTGCAATAGCAGAATCATTGGCATAAATCAGAATGTAGGGTTCATAGCGAGAACGTGCTCTCTTCCGGGGGCGATGGCTGGTTGGGTCCATTTTGACACCAATCAGGAGTTCATCGTTCCGTTTCGCTTCATGCAGGAGCCAAGTGATATCCTTCCACTGCCAGGATAGGACATCCTGGTAAGCAGTGGAGACATTTATTAGGAAATGTCCCAGGCTCCGTGTCCGGTTCCCAGCAGCAGGAAAGGTCCAAACTGAGAGATGCATCTGAATTTCAGGTTTGCTGCGCCCATGATGAGAACAGCCTCTGGACAGGGAACAGTTCCGCTTGACATGCAGCAGATCACCAATATAGTAATACACTGAAGCTGACAAGACATTTTCAGACTTGGTGAGTGATGTCAAGTTAAAAAGGTACATCTCCTGGCTTTCAGGGCCCCCTAGAAGAAGAAAGACTTACATAAGAATACGGTCATTTCAAAATGGTAGGGAGAAGGGATCACATGAATCGCTCTCTATGTTGTACATTCAGTTCACAGGAAATTTTCACACAGTGTTGTGGGAACAGGTTTAGGCCACTATCAAGAAAAATAACCAAGCCGGTAAAACGGTGACAGTAGCTCACACATTTTCCATCTGATTTCTGTGTAACACCAGAAATATTCACTTATTTCCTCCTGCTCCTCTGACTTCAGGAAATAAACTAGATGTCAGGAACACAGTTTGATAATAGATACACTAGAGACTATACCTATCATCCAGAAATTTGATCAATACCATAGGAAGGTTTTGCTCTTTTGTGTTTCTGTAACATTTCCAACCCCCTCCTTCTCCACACGCCCTTAGGTGACTATGGCTGCCCTCTCCCAGCTACAGCAGGACTAGAGATGGGCACAGAAGGGAGTATGAAGTTAGTGACAACGGCCTTGCACACAAAGGAGGACCGTGGCTTGTTTCTGAAGATGTGGGGAGAAGAAACACCAGAATAGAATTACTGTGTAATTGTTTTTAAGGCTTGGATGACAGCTCTGGAGAAACAGACAATCCACTGTTCATAAGGAGCTGAAGACACAGAAGCTGGTCTGACAGCCTTTTGGCTAAGTCAGATGCTAATCGCAACCAAAGCTTTGCCCTCAAATCTTAAGAACTTAAGAACAGGTGTCTCGCACAGACCCAAAGCTGCGCTCCCAGCACCGGCCTATCTGTGACAACAGATGACCGAGTACTTTTATTCCCTGTAGGATGCAAGAGAAAGGCTCAAGGGAAATGTTTCATTTTTGTTTTAACATTTCCTGTTTGGACTTCGGTTATGTCTGTCCTTCAGAATAATGGAAATATAGATACACATGTTAGGGGGCTATTGAGAACTATAAAACCAGGCTGTATGGAATCAAATGAAGTAAAGCAAAGATACGGTCTTCAGCCCCCCCAAAGGGCTGGAAACAACCCAACACATTAGGAAAACAAGGTACCAGGGAATTAAATGCTTCTTTGACATCACAGCATGTCAAAACCCTCTCTGGAGGCTGAAGAGAAGTTACAGTTCACAGATTTTTACAAGCACTTTGTTTGTTTGTGTGTTTTGGTGTTGGTTTTTTTTTTGTTTGTTTGTTTTTATTGGTTTGGTTGGTTTTTTTTTGAGGGGGGAGGTGTGTGGGTATTTTTTGTTCTGAAATTTTAAGCAATGATAAGCATAGAGATGTCCATGGATTAAGGAAGAACAGCCTCTCCACTTCCAACTTCAGAACAATGATAGCTTTATGTTCTGCGTGATACGTGGTGCTTCCAGACTGCAATATCCCAAGCCCTAACGCTCTTCAGCTAAGTCCAGCAAAAGACTGCATCCTCCCTCTCCCTCCTCCATGTCCCCCAGCAACCCAAGCAACTTTTTCTTCTAAATACATTTACCTCATCAAGATTCTAACCAAACCAATACATTAAAAAAGCAGCAATCTATCTCACTAGAAACACAGAACCCTTCTCCACAGCAGATCACATGCACCACTTCATGAAATTAGACAAAATGGCATGCACTTTTCTCAGTGAAACAGAGGACGCAAAAAAGTCCGACCACTTATGGAAACACCCTTGTTTACACATTCAGCCCAAAACAATGGTGTATTGCATAGGTAAGTTTCCAATAGCTGAAAACTCATGTACCGAACCTACCCAATTTTCAGCAATTTATTTTGCCCAGGGAACTAGATATTCTTTTAATTCGGTCCTACTTTTAATTCCTCATGCCAAAACCGTCTGTTTATTACAAGTACACTAAGCACACACGAGGACCTGACCTCTGCTTGGTTTGTAATCGCGAACATAACAAGGTTAATATGTAATGTGGCAGAGCACTAAGCACATTGGTCTTAGGAAACAGAATTTACGATGTCTCATGAGTGCCTGTTAAAGACGTTATGACTTAAATCACTGTGGTATGTTGAACAACAAGTTTTGATTTTAATTTTTAATAAGAATTCCATCTAATACCACCTGCTCTAAACTGACATATTGTAGTAGAACACAAAACAAGCTGGTCTGGTTAATTAAAAAACCCTAGATGGCATGAAACAGACACAGGAGGAATACATAGTTTGGATTAAAAGCAAAACTCAGGCAGACACTCTGGGTATTAACTCCACACTGACTATCTACTGGCAGCAGGTGGTGCTATTTTCTCATCGAATGACCTCCAAGCTCTAACTACTCCAAAGAAGAGTTTTTGAATCCTTCAGCCCACAAAATCATCTTGAAATCCGTTAGTGGCCAGCACACATATCCATAGATTTCTGGCTTCCGGCTCAGAAAACCCCAACTGTGCAACCCACGTTGCTGCTGCAACTTATGAACACCAAGTCAAAGACATCCGTTGTGTGACAGAAATACCTGACACTGGAATGTGAGCAACGTGCTGAAATGACGTATTCCTCAGTCCAGTCACTAGCCTTAAAAGCAACAGATACATCAAGGAAGATTTAGCTTTAAACTACCTACAAATGCACCTCTTCCTCAGGAAAATTTAATTTCATTTAAGTGAAACTTTTTACTTAAACCCAGAGGACAGAAGCTGCTGAAAACGTGTCCCCACAATAACGCTGTTTGAACTATTAGCCAAAGTCAGAAGCATAGTTTAAACTTTTCACCAGTGTCAGGAGGTATCGAGTAGCATCTGACTAAATCTCACTGTGATAAAGGAAGCTTTCCATGAGCCTTTTCCAGCTTGTTCTGCTGACACTAGTGAAGCTTTACTGACTGATGTGAGCCGAGGCCTTAGACTTTACAATGACATACATTGGGAGAACTTCTCTCATATGAACAGTTTGATTGACTAACTTCCCCTCTTGCTAATCCCAAACAAATACCCAAGTCAAATCTACCTAGAGCTTTAATTCCAATACTTTGTCAATGTTCAGAAAATGCCATTTCCTAGGATGCTGCCATCAATAGCTACATGTTAAACGGAGGGGACAATGGGGCCATACTGCAGGGCGAAATCCATCGACAATTGCTGGAGCAACCTCTCAGTGGGGCCCACCAGCCTGCAGCCCGGCAAGGTTCTCTCCGCAGCCTCTGAGCAGCAGTCCGTAGCAAACCTCACACTCGTTTGCAGCAGTGTACAGTGCAATTCAGCAGTGACTCGGTAGGATTTGAACAGCAGTAACTTCCCTGGCTCACTCAATACACTTCTCAACTCTGTGAGCAGCAGATTTCCATCTGAGCACCACTACTTGAGCAAAGACTTTTAGTTCTTTCTTACTTCAAAGGAGTTCTGCTCACTCAGCTCTGCTCTTTTGTAGTACCAAATCGGAACCGTAGAAGACTTCTCAGCAATGGAGCATGTAAGGAGGAGAAAACATAAGAGGAAACAAGGTAAAATATGTGCGACAGAGCTACATGCAAAGAATACCCTGTTACCTTTCTGAGGCCAGATTTTAACAGCAATCTCTGCTCCCCTTCGCAGGATCACCGTATGCTGCTGCCAGTCCAACAAGGAATTCTCAAGACCGAGCTCTGCATGACAGAGCTCTTTAGAATTGCAATAGATAAGGCACAGCATTGCTGCACTCTGTATCGCTCACATCTGCAGCATAGAGCTTTTGAACAGCAGCCATGAGCCAGACATAAGGCTACTTGACAAGAATATCTCACTGTTTGCATTTATGTAGAATACAGTTTGGAAAGTACATGCAGTTAAATGGACAGGCTACAGACTCGTTTGCCTCCACAGCATGTACGCCAGTCGCTATTCACCTGCGCATTCTCCCCTTGCTCAAATGAAGCCCAGATCCCAGTGGCTCCAAGGCAAAGCTTGTACTGGGCGAGCACCATGTCCCACACCTCCTGCTCCAGCAACAACAGAGCTCTGCAGGGTGGGTGGAGTGAGGAGATACAGTCTCTGCAGGACTGAAGTGGAGAGGACTTACTCTATCACAGGGTGGCTGCCACTCAGATGCCACGTCAGGGTGTGGCATCACTCACCGTTTGACGCATGCAAGATGCCAGCTACTTACTGACAGCTCAGAGCAGAAAGCAACCCAGCTCACAGCACTACAGCTGAAGTACTTGTACCTGCTGAGTTGTCAGAGGCATGGCCCAGGCTTCTTCACCCTCCTGCAAGAGCCCACAGCTGTAAGTATGGCCTGTTAATGGCATTAAAAAGGTATTTTAAGAAAAAGCAATAGGTCTGTGGAGACTGACATCATCTGCATGAACATATTCATGTTACAAGGGGCATTTCCAGGCATCAACAAGCTGGAACTGGTTTGCTAATATGCCGTGTGTTTACAGAGAATTCACTGACATTTTTATGGACTGCCAAATCTATCCCATGGGTGAAAAAGGATGCAATAACAGGGACTAGTTAGTTATATAGTTGTCATCAGCCGTCATTTAAATGATGTATTAAAGTGATGCCCTTGTGCCAGTGCAGTCAAGAACAGGTGGGTGTTTCCATTGTAAAACTGTTTCCATGGGTTCATAGTGCAACTACAAAAGTTTACTTGGAAACGGAAATGGGAATAAATTGCAGAACAGGATTACAAATTTGGGGGCCAGAGCTTCCCCCCTGTTTAACAATTGCAATATTTTGCAATAGAAAAATATAGGATCTAGTTCTGTCTTTTTGAAGAGTGTAAGACTCATTCCCGAATAGGTTTAAATTCTTTTAACAAAGCAGATAATGTCATAGCACCTAGTAACTTGTCCACCTCTTTGATTAAAGCTATCAGCTACTTAATAAACAAATTCAAGAAGCAGCAATGGTACATGCTCATGATCTAACTTACACAATGATTTTATGATACAAAACCCACAAATATGCACATTGCACACTATAAATGTGCTGCACAGTGGACAAATGATCTGTCTTCTATATGTTTTAGACAGAAAGTGCACAGCAAGTCTGAAAACTAAATGCAGCATCAAACTCAAAGATAGCATAAGCTCAGCAAGTAACAAGGCTGCATCAATAAAGTACACAAATCTGGGAAGGGGAACACAAAGAGATGACTGCTCTTTCTCACAGTCGTGATAAATTCCACTTCAGCTAGAGGCAGCAGGTCAGCTGTATGAAAACCAAATTGTACACTGTCCCCTTGAGGCCAGAACTCCTCACATGTGAAGTGATGGCCTTTAGAAACCATGAGTGTCTGGGGAGTGTGAGCACAGGTCATCCATGTGGATGATGGCACAGCGAGACTGGTGGCAACAGAAGCCAAAAAATTCAAATTCTAGGTCTGGTCCCGAGAGGCCAAACCTACCGATCCAGCTTATTTGCCTTGGAGAAGCTTTACGGTTTTGGGCCCAGCCTACCCAAATCATAGCCTAACGGTTTTCAAGCTCTTTCTGCCTAAACCTAGCAGGAGGCTGCTGCTTGCATTTTATTTATGAGGGTGCAGAAAAAACAGCAGAACTAAACAAACACCCAAAACCAAAAAAAAACTCACATTCTTGCTGCCTCCTGCCTAAAAGCTCTTGTCACAAAAGACCCTTGATGTTACTAGAGCTCAGAGAGGCTAGAATTTGGGCTGTATCAGTTTTTGCAGGCTGTCCAGTGACTGGACAGTTTCTCTCTGCCAACGTTTTCCCTTGGCTTCCTCTGTTTGTGTGGGCATTTCGTACCACAGCAAAGGAGAGAAAGGTGTTTTGAAAAGGAGGAGAACATAGTTCTGCAACCACAAGAATGGGCCTAGGGGCAGATGTAATACCTAAATTACTTGAAATTGAATCAATAAAAAAGAGTTTAAAGTAATTTCTGACTGTATAGCTTTACTATAACATCATTAGAAGGACCTTCCAATTAAAGTCAAGTTTTTTAAATGACTCATTTGCAAGACATGTTCCTTGAGCGATGCTACGATTAAAAGTGCTTTCAAAAGGAAACTGAAAGTCTCTTATTTGAGTCTTTTATCTTTCTGCTCTCTTTTATTTGTTCTGTGCTCTATCATTCCTCCAGATGCCGAGCCTCAGAAGCTGCGGATCAGCAAACCCCTACGGGAAGTACTTCAGGTAAGCAGCTTTATACCAGCAGGAGGTCTGGTCTTTTGGCAGTTTTGCTAAGCAGTGGGAGAAGGGAACAGCTGCTGCAGAAACTGATGCACAGACGTGACCGTAGTTGAAGAGCACACTTGCGAGAACCATCAAAGCGCTCAGCTCTGACTCAAGTACAGCCTGACCTTCTTCCTAGCTGCCTTTTGAGAGTCATGGGGGATGGAAAACCACTCAACTCTTGTGGTACCTGCAGGTAAACAACTGGAAAATGCTCCATCTTCAGATTTTTGCTGAGGCAGAGGTCAGTGTGAAGCCTGGCTTAAGCAAGATGAGGGCTGCCAGGTCATCTCAGAAATGGCATATCCCACATCAATGACATAGCTGCCACAAAAATCATGATCTGTTTGACTCAAATACATAGAAATAAATTAAAGCAGTGAAGCCAACAAGAGACAACGGTGTGGGAATCTAACTAAATATATTGTGAAAGATGTACATCCTTACTTCGGTTGTAATGGATTTGAGGCCCAGGGTTTTTTCCCAGCTCTGCCATGGGCATCAAGCATTCCTTTACTAAGTGACTCAAACTAAATTATGTTTTGAGATGATTTAGCAAGATTAATAGAAAATCCATTTGCCGCAATAGAGGACCACATGAATATTCAACATCAAAGGCCAAAGTCCTCAGACCAAACAACAACCCACTAATAAACCAGCCTGGTCGTAGTACCTGGTGCACAAGAGATTTCAGGGTAACGTAGGATGGAAACTTCAGAGGTGCCCACACAGGGCTGAAGCTCTCATCCTGTCCCCCTTAGAGGGCCAAGCCACAGCAACAGAAACATGCATTTAACAGTTGTGAGGATGGTTCTTTGGGTTAATCATGTCTTAGCTGTTTCTTGTTGGCTGTCTGTTGTAAGACCACAGCTGCTATATGAAACACTGCTTTTCTTGGACTCAAATAAGGGAAGAGTTTCAACAAATCCTAGAAGTTCATGGTCTCATCACACAGCACTATCCCCCCTAAAGAATCTTAAAAATCTGCCCGGTGGGTTACACAGGAGATCCAGGAAAGATCTTTGCCGTCTGCTGCCAAAGAGCCAGAAGATCTCCAGGAGAAAAGCAAGGACAGAGAGGGTTCACAGCCATATTTGAGAGCTGTGTTTTGGAAAAAAAACCCAACATTTTCTCTCATTAAAAAATACGATCACATTGCAAAATTTATAGTTAAACTGCAAATGAAATCACTGAAGGTTTTGTTTGAGGCTTCTTGCTGTAGATGCAGGAGAAATGGGCAGATTCTTAGGGAAGTTCTGCTCATCACAGACCAAAAGCTGCCACCTGAAGGGAACAGCAGTGAGGACTGCAAAATGTGCAGAAGGAGTAAAAGGAACATAATTTATTAATTTAACTGATGAAGCCACGTTGTCCCTAAGGATAAGGGGAAGCCCATGAAGACTGAAATTTGCAGCCAAAGATCTGGAAAAAAAACTACCTCAAAAGAGAAACGCTGTGGATGTGTAATTTCCACCATGGGGCTGGACAGGCAGTTAGGCTCAAGGAAGAAGCCAGGAACCAAAGCCTTTTTGCCCCCAGCACCATCATGAGGAAAATTTGGTCTAAGGATTCTCTGGAAATGCACTTTTCTGCCATCAAAAACCATGCAAAATGAGCTGCTGCTGCCTCTGCAGAGAGAAAGCAGCTAACTGGCTAAATATTTTGCACAAATACTTATAAAAGTATTTATAACCACTTCAAATTTATTGCTTTGGCACTTGAACTGTGAAAGTATTGCAGAAGGAGGAAAGGGATTAGTGAATAGTGTGTTTATAGGACTGCTGCCACCCAATGTCAAGTGAGAATATAAATATAATCAGAAAGACCACAAAGATGGGATTTCAACCAAAGGCCTTCTCGGTTTAGAACAATAAATATCTTTAATCAGATATTATTAAAGAGGCAAATATCACTCTGTTGAGATTTTACAGCCCTCTCACTTCCTTTTTTTTTGTATAATACATTTCCCCTCTTAGAGTGAGGAAATTGCTTATTTTAGAACAAAGCAACATACATTAGACTTTATATTGCAAAAAAAAAAGGTTATCTTCAAAAGATGCCAGAGTTCCTTTGTAGAAGCAGCAACAGCACTCCAAACCCAGGGTATTTACACCTCTCTAAAGACTCTCTTTTGGATAGAAGTACTTCCAGTAACCTATGATGGAGAGTATTTTTAGGGCTAAATCTTAAGACACCAAAACGATTCAATTAGTCATAGTATTTGATCTCTGTGCTGGGCTATCCTATAGTAGACATTGTTGCTTTTGAAGATCAGAATTAACAACTCACAAAGACACCTAAGGAAACTCTGGCACCCAGCTCTCAGTAGTCTGAGAAGTGGAAGGAATCAATTCAGGTCAGTGAAACTCCCACATAACACTCAGTTTTACTAAAAAATGTCTGTTTATTAAAAAAGTCCCTGGGCCAATCCACCAGAGCAAGGAAAAATGTAAGACTGGCAAATGGGGCTGCTATGTATGGCATGACAGCTGTACAACAGCAAGTTTTGGGGATGCAGTGCGTTTGGGAAGCATATCCCACCGAAGATCACAGTTTGGTTCTATGACCCTTGCAGAGGCCAGATGCACAAAAAGCAGAACAGTGGAGTCAGATGATGCAGTGCCAAGGTAATTTCACCTCTCCTTTCTGCTACGCCCAACCCCCTTGGCCCTTTATGAAAAACGAGTACATTTTCATAAATCTACCTACGCGTGCCAGTCTGTAATCACAGAGAGGTCTGAGTGCCGCTGCAGAGCTGCTGAGATGCAGTATGTGCCACACAC